TTAAAATAATTTTTAAATAGGGTATCTAATGCATTTTACGTCTTAAACAGTTAAAAGTAGTTATTTCAATACTCTTTAAACAATTGGACAGGAACCCAATAACCTAAGAAATATTTTTTTGTGTAAAATATATATTTGTATTTTAGTACCATTTAATTGTTTTTGTTCATAAACAAAAGGAACGTTGCAAGTTGTATTACTTTTATCAACAATTTTGATTGAAGAATTGAAATGATTTCTGTACATTACTAAAAGAAGTAATCCTCAACATTAAATTAAGTCGATTAAAAAGATGAAAAGACGCGATGTATTCAAATTTAAAATCGCAATCACAGTATATGTTGAACCTATAGCTTTCAAGTAACAACTCGCTTTGGATTTCAGATCCGAACATAATTGTATACACCCGAGACATATCTCAGTTTGAACTGAAAGCTTTGTGTCACTTCAATTTCGTGTTAAAAATAAGTGTACACGCCTCAAGTAACCCGGAGGCAGGGTAATGTATTCTCAGATATACATAAGTGAAAACATTTTAAGAAGCTCCACGGACCCACTGCATCACCCCCGGGGTTAGGGCCTAAAAGCACTATCTCGGAGCCAAAGCCTTACAACTCCTCTCAAATTCAACTTACTTTGCTCTATGTGGAGGTGCTTACTCAACATATATGTGATGCCCTAACAATCTTGATACTTGCCTTAAAAATGTTTTTCTAGACTTTTAAACAGCATATTTTAGAAACATAATATTGACTGATGATGAGAAGATAATGTCTTATTGAGTAAATTTGTCATGTAGAATTAACTAAGAATAGTTTTGTCTGTAGTTTACGCTAATGCAAAGCATCCAAAACGTCGGGCCGAAGTTAAAAATCATTTTCAAATAAGTTTAACTAATATATCGCGTTTTAAACCGTTAAAGTGTTTTATTTAAACTTATTTTAACTATGCTCCAACGTTTTACATGCTTTGTAGCCGTTTTAAAACAACGACATCATTGTATTAAATTAATAATTTTTACTTGATTTGAGTACGTGATAATAATAATTTCTTATATGTTTTTAACTTTAAATTTGATTATTTTAAAAATCCTTCAAGAAATACATGTTTATAACTTGACCATTCAAGTTTAATTATTAATGACGAATGGTCTACTATTAAAAGTAAGGTCAATTCATAATGACGTAATTACTCCTGTTAAACACTTAAATTTAATTACAACGTTCTACGGGTTTGTACATATACTTTAAAATAGTCAAAATTGTTTTTAAGATTCCTCAAACAAGTATTAAGAACGTCGGTTGATCGTAGCTATATGAATTCATAGTTTAGTGTCCCACAAGGTAGTGGTAGAGTTTTTAGAAAAATGTCTGACTTGAATCATTCAAATCTTACCAAGATTATTATAATATAAAATAAAGTATACTCTTAGTAAAACCACGGTCTGACGTTTCGGATTCTTTGCAACAGCCGGGATCACGGGGAGACCCAGGTCTCAGGTTAAAATAATTTGTAAATAATCGCGTTTTAAACCATTAAAAGTGTTTTAATTAAATTTGTACAACTCGCGTAAGCTACAGACGGTATAAAATACAGTCTGTCACTAGTTAATTTAGTAATAAAACCATATTTTATTTATTTTATGGTTTAAACGGAGGAATTTAAAGGAGTTAATCAGGTTTTGGAATAGAATAATTCATTTAGCCCACATAAAAGGTTCGGTACGTACAAAAACGCCGCCACAGAGGAAGCCAATCTCGATGTTTAGTAATGGAGCTTTTTAAAATTGAACTCGAACTTTTGTCAGACACTTTTAGCCATGCCGGAGATACATTTAAGCTTTTCAACTTTTCCACTCCCGTAATGTATCCCACTCTTTCGGAACGCAGGGTTGACAGAAGCACTTTTATTTTTTCAAGTTAAGTGGGTTAGCAGTTTTTTTGCGCGTGTTTGCATGCGGGCCCTAGCTCGCGATAATTACCAGTTTCTCCTTTTTCGTAGCCAACAAAGTAAATATTTTGCCTACAAACCATTAAGTAAATGCACTCCGACTGCCACTCGGCAATGCATTAATATTGCATTTCAAACCTCCCCTCGTCTCTTACATTTGAAAACAATCGGTATATGTAGTTACGCTGGGTATTATAAGGTATCAAAAATTAAATTATATTTTATGACTGAATTGTGATTATTATTACAATTATCTACCTTTTAGGTACCTAGGACATAATACATTTGAGGCTCTAATTATCAATATTTACAATTCGTTTTAAATCTATACTAACATTATACCGCTATTTGTTTCTTGGCACGCGCTAATCTCAAGTAATACTTATTAATATTTCGAATTGAAAAAATATTTTTGTGTTTGTATTGACGAAAGCTAATAGGACTAAAAAACATAAGGCTTACCAATAGGAGCGAAGAGACACCGGAAAATGTGAAAAAAAAACGGGAAAACTAACTTTGAGGGATTTAGTTGCGTGCTCTGCGAAAACGATATAAGATACCCAAAAAACATGAAAAAAAATAATTTGTCTTCTTTAAATACAGTATTTGTCTATGTAGAGGATTAACTGAAGAACCGTTTTTATGGTTATAAAAGTTTATTGGTATATGGCAAAAGAATTATTATATACCCATATATTCGTTGGACAGAAGCCTACACATCCCTGCATAGATAAATGTAATTATTTCCAAGTAGTATAAAGTATATGCTGAGGAATAAATAGTTTAGTACATCACCATGTATGTACATACATCTCGCGTGATCTTTATGTAAGTGCGAAAGGACTGGCGGTGTGTGTTTTTCCAATAAATTACCGTTCAAAATCAATACGAAAATGTAAGTAATGTAGGCGCTTAACTCAGCGGACTCCTGAGCGGATCAGCAAATGGAGTGCTTCATGCATAATGTAGTGCCAACAGAGTGTTGTTTTGAAGCGTTCTGAATTCGTTATTTTCATCACTGACTTGTGTTAAGCGATATATCAATGCTTCTCTTCAGCTTCATTCCGGGATGCCAAATGTTTGTCTGCTTTACATATTTAAACAACGTGCGAGCACACGCTGGTTTGAATTGCATATTTGCGGTCCCGGTTTTTCAAATAATTTAATGGCGGTAGTTGATAAAGCGCGCAAACTTAAACAGAGCACTGTGCAAGGGCACTTACTTAAGCCCACTGCAATGGTAGCGAAGACCTGTGCCAAGCTGCAGAGCAACGAGTTCAATCAAGAAGACCACTGGCGTCATTTGCATTTCATTGCATTTTTTATCATGGAAGATAATTGTAAAATTAAACTTAACAAATAACAAAGACGGAGCATTTCATGGCACCTCTTTTCGTTCGTCCTAATTTGAAAACTGTTAGTAAATTTACAGTTGAAGTAATTAATTTAAAACTGTTTTGGCGTTCATAGTGCACTCAGCCTCGTACAAGAAGATTCATTTATGAATTTGATTCCAGTTCCGTGATTTCGAAACCGATAATATTTAGCTTTACATAACTTTATTAAATGATAACAGGAGATAACTGGCACCTCAGAATTAATTAATCCACTCAGAGATTGCATCTAAAAGCCTTCTACCCCACCTCACCCCAGAGCGGGGTCGATCCGTTTCCAGCCACTTAAACTTCACGCGCCGCTCTTGCTTCCGTTTTAATTACAAAATTAATTCAAAATGTAATTAAAGTTAACAATAAGGCGGCGAACAATTGAAGTTATTTATGTTAGTTTATGCTTTATGTTAGACGCGTTTCGTATAGTTTAAGGGAACTGAGAGTTATTGGGATTCCTTTTTTGCCCGCCTTTTATTATTCAGAACAATAGGGTAATATCCATTGCGGTGTACAAACACGTCTTTATTTTCACAAGAAGTCTTGGGTTCGGGTTTTGGTGAAACATGATAAATTGTTTGGCATGTACCGCTCGGGTACTAAAAAAATATAAACAGTATACGTATGTAGGATTCAGGTATGGCCATTAGAAGTATCACCCCGTTTAGATATAAATTACAAATTACAATGATAATGAACTAACGACTTCGTCTCCTTAATTTAGATTATTAGTGATCCAATTCAATACACGTTTGGTATATCAATTGTCCCTCACCCTGCATTACTTACTTGTACGGAAATAATAAATTATTATTGATTAGTGAATCTATAACATTTACCCCATGTGACATTACGATCTCAAACTTAGTGAATAATACAATTACGAACAAGATCAATAAAATAAAAAAGAGATGACTGAAAGCTATCTACTCACTCATCCACTTACCTATTGCTACAATGTACACGCTTTAAAGGCATGTAGAAAAGCACTTAACGGGATTGATTTAAAGCATTTACTACACATACATATGTTCTTTAGATAACCAATACTTATCCTTTAGTAGTATCACTAGTAGATTTAATTAGATTTTCACGTGAATAACAAATAGGCAATTTCTTTAATTAAGTATTTTATAACTTGTCTCGTATTAAATATATTTGGTTAGATGATTAGATTAGATAAACAATATAATGTATCAATCCTTCTCGATATCCATCGGGAGATCCTATTATTAAGTAATTTACCAAAATCTAGTATGACCGAAAAAATATTTTAATTCCAATACATTTTTGTTGCGCCTGAAACTATGCGGTAGGTAATAGCTTTTTTAAGTAGGCAAAAATCATAAATGAAGAACTAAAACATTTTGTTTAATCTGTGGTACCATGGTAAATGTCAACATATCGCGTACATTGTCATTTATGTCTGACATTGTTTTTTGTTTTGCATCGAATCAACAAATCAAGTTTTTCTGCGTAACGACTAACGCATTACTTGTATTTAAAATTTCATAATATTACATCAATGAGGATACATACTTTTTCATATTAAGAAAAAAATTAAATAAAAAGAATTTATGGATTTCACTGTATGATCCTTTAAATACTGCTAATATCAGTATAATTAAATCTTAATTCCTTTTAAAAGCAGTATTAATAACAATGCCTACGACAAGAAAAAAGGTCTCTAAAATTGTTTATAAAGACGAAAACGATAGTGAACCTGATGGCGATTTTAGTGACTCGGGTTCTGAGGCAGTTATTTCGTCCGCGTCCAGCTCAAATGAAGATCCTGTTTCCTCGGCTGATGAATTCAAAGCAATAAAGAGCGAAAGGCGTGTTCAACATAAAAGGCCGAGTAAGCCAAAGATCAGGCCGCATTTAACAAAATCTCTTCTACAGACAATCCAAAAGCAGGCCGATTTAAGTATTGAAAATGATATTGACACACCCCAGATTTCAGTAAAAGATTTAACCGATGCAGACAAACTCTTACCGTCTATTCTAAATCTTTCTGAAAGTGGTGAGTTTATTTAATATTGCAAGATATTAAATTAGTAACATCAAATGCATTATTTATCTTAAATAGCAATAAAGGTCTTAATAACAAAATATTAAATGACAATATCATTATATCATTATTATTTATTTAATCATGATATCTTTGCTTACTTATAAGTTACCAATAAGAATGTTAATACTTATAATACACATTTTATATTTATCTCTTATGCCTCTAATTCAGATAGCAGTGAAGATGAGGCACCAAAACTTAAAACACAAAAGAAAGTATCTAAAACAGTATTTTCCCAATATCAAGATTCGGATAAAGAAGACTCAAATATAACAGAGTACAAGGATGTAAGTATAATCCTAAGTTGGTAAAGATTAATTAATGTAATATTTTTTAAGAAACTTATTTCAAATATGAACCTTAGTACATAATCTCACTTTTATTTTAAAATATTAAACAAATTAATTCCTTCTAGGTCTTTTCTAATACTTTTAAACCAGATGACAGTGAAGAGATTGCAAGAAATGCATTTTTAGAATTAGAAAAACATAAAAATAAAGTTGAAGAAGCTAAGAGTTCTATCCAAAAATACTGTATAAAAAATAATCAGCAAGAAGCAAATGTTGAAGATCTTCTTGCTTTGGGTGGTGATGTTATAACTGAAGAGCATACAATACCTAAAAAGAAGACTCGGAATGTGGCTGATGATAGTGAATCAGACATAGAAGATTGGGAAGAAGTTAATGGTTTGTTCTGCTTTTAAATAGTTTCTTATATGACACAATTTAAATATTATAACCCCATAAAAATTCTCTGCACACACATATTTATTAAGAGAACTTATTAGTAATATTAACTTTAAATGTTTTTCAGAGAATAAAGCAACAGAAGGGATACAATTGTTAGTAAACATTCCTGGCACAGTTTGCAAAAGATCTAAGAAGCTTGATGTTGAAATGATGATGAAAAGAAAAATTAATCGTGTGAAAAAAGAGCAACAGATATTTATGCACAAGGTACATGTATTGTGTTGGCTAGGCCATGGTAATTATGTAAGCAAAGTTATAAATGATCAGGATATTTTGTCAGCTGTACTTTCATTAGTACCATCCAAAGAGTGCTATCCAGGTGACAGAGTGGATATGAAGTATCTAGAACAGATCACAACATGGTTTCATGAGAAAATTATGTTAAATCAGGACAAACATGAAAACAAATTTCGATCTAAAGCACCCCCACTGAAAACAACATTATTGGAACAGATTCGAAAAAAAGTGTTTACTACAAAGAAATACATTGTGTTTGTCTTTGTGTCTTTACTAAGGGCACTTGGATTACAATGCCGTGTAATGTTTAACTTTATAACTGTACCTATTCGACCACCAAACTCTGAACTATGTTCTCTTTCTATAAAAGAAAATGAGCAAAAGGTAAATGATAAACAGCCTGCTAAAAAGGGGACAAAGAATTCAGCTCAAAAGAGTAAAATACCTCAGCTAGATGGTGCTTATGATCAGAGCTCATGTAGTGATATGGAAGTTGACAATATTATGCAAGTAGATGGGAATGATGATATTTCACCAGTGAAGACAAGAACACGAAGTCAAAAGCATACTGTTAAAGACACAAGTATAAATCACGAGGTATCACCTCCCAAGAGATCCAAGAGATCGAAAAGTACAGAAAATAAACTAAATAGTAAAACTGAAAGTTTATCTTCCCAAAAGGCAGTCAGAAATACAAGAAGTAAAAAGAAAACTGAAGTAAACAAAGACAAGCCCATTTTAATTGAGCCCCCTAAAATTGTTATAACAAAAGCGGTCAATGAAAAAACTTCCAGTGCATATTTTGAAAATCCTAAATCCAACCAACCAGGTAGGAAAAGGACGAGAACAGATTCAAGTGAAAATAAAAGAGATATAGATAAAGTTAAAACACGAAATAAGAGCGCTCCTGGTATTTCGTTAAATACAAGCAAATACTTTGACAAAGAGACAAATGCCAATAATAGGCCTACTAGATCAAAAGGGAGAAAACAAGATGTAGTAGAAGATAGTCAAAGAATTAGTCATAAAGACTTGAAAAAAGAAAACGCAAAATCAAAAAATGATGTGAAAGATGATTTGATTCATATTATAAAAAGTAAAGTAAAAGAGGCAAAAAATAAAACAAAGTCATTACAAGTAAAAGGTAAATATCGACATATTTATTAAAATTTAATAGGGGTTTCTAAAATAACATAATCGATAGTTGAATATTAATTGTATTACAGGTAAAACAAAGGATGAATCAGACAATGATAGTGACTATCTTCCAGTAGAATCGCTTAATCATAAACGATCAGGTAGTAGTGATGATTTCAAACCCAGTAAGATTAGCCCAAAAGCCAGCACCAGCAAGAAAAAAGACAGAAGAGTGTTCTCTACTGATGATGAATTACCACAAAATAAGATAGATGTATGGTGTGAAGTGTTTGTTGAAGAATTAGAGGAGTGGATTGCTGTTGATGTTGTCAGAGGAAAAGTTCACTGTGTTAATGAGATTTATGTAAGTTTAATCAACAACAAATTACAGGGATGAAGTCAAAGAACTGTTAAGTTGAAAATATAATATTTAAAATATTAAAAGTTTTTTCTACTTCTTTGCCTACATCTTTCTTATTACTCCTTTTTTTGTTGCATTTAGTGTTATTATTTTCTATGAACTTTAATTTTATTTCAATATTTTCAAGTTAATAATGATTGGTTTCCTTCTTTACAGAGTAAGTCTACCCACCCAATGACATATACTATTGGATGGGACAACAACAACTATTTGAAAGATTTGACTCGCCGTTACGTACCTCAATGGAACACAGTAACTCGTAAACAGCGTGTCGATAACTTGTGGTGGACCACTGCTATTAAGCCCTGGTTGGGACCAAAAACTGCCCGAGACAGAGAGGAGGATGAGAGATTAGATCAGATGCAATTAGAAGCACCGTTACCCAAAGCCATTTCAGAGTAAGTGATTAACTTAACAATAGCGTTATAGCGTAAGAAGAAATACTTATACATAAAGTATTTCAAGTTAGGCAACTAAATACAAATACCATTAGTTAAATCAGTCTCATAACTTTGAAATTTAAGAAAAGAAGTTTAGATTCTACATCAACTTTTAAATTTAAGAGAGAATTCATCCAACCTTTTGCTCTTCACTGTAAATTAAATCTTAATCATAATCAAAATGGAACCATTGATCCATCTGGTTACTAGATATTATTAACATAGTACATTATAGATAATATATATAACTATTAATATAATAATAATATAACTCGTGCAATGTTTGCAGTTAGTCACCTGCATTGAATCCACGATGTTATGCACAGTCCGTTGAGTGAGTTGGCAAGACACATAGCTAACTTTATTAGAACATAAGTAGCTGCATTGGGGGCATCCCTGTCAGGGCTTTATATATTTTGGTTCAATAAATAAATAAATATTAAAACTATAAGCATATGCTATATATGCCTACACTTATAAAATCCCTTGTAAATCAGAATGCATGTAACTTTTCCAGATACAAAAATCACCCACTCTATGCACTGCAACGACACCTGTTAAAGTTTGAAGCAATATACCCACCTGATGCAGCAGTTTTGGGCTTTGTTCGCAAGGAACCCGTTTATGCGCGGGAGTGTGTCTATGTTTGTCGTTCTAGAGACACTTGGCTTAAGGAGGCGAAAGTTGTAAAACTTGGAGAAAAGCCGTATAAAATTGTCAAGGCTAGACCAAAATGGGATAAGGTAAATTAGTCTAATGTTTAATCTAATTCAAATAAAAATTAACACACATCATGAATATTTCTAAAGTGATATTGTTAATCATGATCAAATTATTCACGTCTTAAAAAGTTTAATACCTACTCTACATAAAGTTCCATATTGCATAATACAAAATTATTTCTTATACATTTAACGACAATTTACTGACTGCAGTATTTTTTCTTTTATTGTTCCTGTAATGAGTAATTTCGGATCTTTCACAATTTGATCCCTTGTTCATCATTACAGTCTATTGGTAAATGCAAGAGTGTGATTATATAATTTCAGCTTTCAAACAAAATGATAACTGATAAGCCACTAGAAGTGTTCGGACCATGGCAAGTGCAAGATTATGAACCACCAACAGCTGAGAATGGTATTGTGCCTAGAAATGCATATGGCAATGTTGAACTTTTCAAAGAGTCCATGCTGCCTAAAGGAACTGTCCATATTAAATGTAAGTAATCGTTCAACTGTAGACTAGGATTCCAAGAACTCCAAATACTTTTTGCTGTCTAGAGGAATTGCATATTACTAAGAAATGCCTTACGAACAATTTGTATAATCAACTTATCTGGCAGTAGCACCTCTTTTTCTCGAACGACCTGGCTTTAAGTTGCTGACAAGCCAGATAAATGCCGGGGGATATTCTGTACCAGCATCAAGTTCATGAATGGTGGTACGGATTTTTTTTTGCATAAATCGCTATGTGGTTTCTTTACCGGTTTTATTTATAAATTATATGTATTTTAAAGACTCAATAAAAATAATTTTAAGAGCGTAATTATTCCGTAATACAAATATGTACACATAATACGTTTTGTTATCTATAAGTCATCTAGTAGGAGACTAAATCTTTGGGACAATAATCTTGGACGGTGTCACAGCTGAACTAAGCTGAGAAGTATGTAATGAGTTTTTTGTTTTACTTTTTCAGTACCTGGTCTAAATAGGGTTGCCAAAAAGTTAAACATCGATTGTGCACCCGCCATGACTGGTTTTGATTTTAACGGTGGCTATACGCACCCCGTGTTCGACGGCTTCGTTGTGTGCAAAGAATTCGAAGAAATTATCACTGAGGCTTGGATTAAGGTATGTGTTGAAGATCAGTTTTTTGTAATAACTAATCTTTATAAAACAAACTTTAATATGCGACAAACATGTCACATAATAAAAAAACTTAACAAAACAATGTCAAGTTCTTTTAAATAACATATATTAAATGCTGTACAGGAACTGTGGTCATCGAGAAAGAATTTAACTATTATATACTACTATATATTTCGCGTTTTAAACCGTTGAAAGTTTAAAACGCGAAATATAATGAACAATGAGCGAACTGTAAAAAGGTCATTATGTACCGGCAGTTCAATTAAATGATTCTATCAGACTGATCATCTTTAATCATCACTGTCATAAAACCAATTTGTATTTTAGGATCAAGAAGACCTAGAGAGAAGAGAAAGAGAAAAGATTGAAACCAGAGTATATGGTAACTGGAAGAGACTAATAAAAGGATTGTTGATTCGAGAAAGGCTTAATGCTAAGTATGGTTTTGAAAACCCCACCACATCACAAAGTAAGAAGAAACCAAAAGGACCTCGCTTTGTGACCACAAAAAAGTCATAATTTTTTTTGTATTTTTTGGAGTGTTGAAAGTACAATTGTTTGTTAGACTACTAGTTTGTTATTAAGTTTTAAAAATGTTTGTGATAAAATCGCAACCATCTTAAGCATTTAATGCATTTGATATTGTTGTAGGCAAATAATTATCGACATTTTACTTTGTATTTTTAGTTTATAATATTGAGCATGATATTTGTTGATTATTAATTTTCTCACAATTTGATAATAAATGTTTTTTTGGCATGTCTTTCATCTTCTTTAATTTGCAAATTCAAGTTTATCTCATATTTTCGAAGGAGAAATAAAAGTTCATTTAAGCGAATTTATTTATTTTAAAAAATGATACAATAATGCTATTTTCTCGCTTGTAATTGCAATAAGCTGCCTTAATTTATCTTACATAATAATGTGCAAAAGCATCAAGCCACAGTTGTTAGATCTAGCCCAGCTTATTGCTGTATATAAAACATAAGTATAATAATATATGAAGGACAATATTATGTACAAAAATCTTTGGTATGATAGTTGATTGTATACTAATGTGTGGTTTCACTTCAGATCTTCATAGTGAGATCTGGTCGGTCGAAACGATTGCATATTGCAATCTTATCCGCGTTTACAGGACAGTTTTAAATTACCTCAATACCAAACTGATATAAAGGTATCACAATGCCATTTTTTTTTCTTTTTTTTATAACTATAAAATTAAAGTACTATTTTATTTTGTACACTTACCTGCTTATTATAAAATAACTATATCTATGCATTTTACACTTTTAAAATTTTATGACGAACTTATAAACCAAGGGCCCAGACACATTCATCACAGGTTCATACTTCTATGAAAGGAATGTAACCTTTAATTTATATTTTCTTATCATAAAATATTGGATCTTATAATAAAATACATAATTATATCTATTTATTCAATTAGTCTCATTTGTTTATCAACCATGATTAAAACCAGTTTAGTACATGGTATGATGAAAAGGTAGCCACATGACCCAGATTAAATTCCTTTCACGCTACTGTTCACTCGTAAGTCCTATAAAGTCCAGCTTTATAGTTAAGCCATGGTTAATGTGCCTGCGCCTAGTCCGAAACCTACACCCTTTGGTCCGAAGTTCCGTCCATAGCATCCACGGCAATAGATTTCACCGTTCGGCCCATCGTTCAAATTAGTTGAATCCTGAAATACAATAAAGATAAACTACATTAGGAAGCTTTGCTGAATAACCTGTTGATGTATTTTTTTTTATCTGAATAAGAATTTATTAACTATAAAAAATGTGCAAGAAATACATTATTATAAACATTTAAACCTATGAATGCTAAAAAATATTTTAAATATAATTTATTCTCCTTTTTCTGACTTAAATTGAAGGTGTGCATAATAAATACTAATATATTATATAATACTTTTTTTGGCAAACAATAATTAATGGCTATATTATCTGTTATCCTCACAGATTGCTGCCAGTAGTTGTGTCAATTTTCAAACATTTAACAGTGACCACTGAGTGCTGACAATCGTGGCTAAATCTGATTTGTTTTTAAATTTTATAAATAATATTTTTTTATTAATAACCTGTATATATAATTAAGGATACAAAGACAATGTTTCGTCCGTTTTTAGCCATATTATTCGTTACAATCCTATACAATGCCAATTGTGAGTTTTCAACGGAAGATTGTGCATCGCTGGGGTTCATAAAATCGAATTTACTATGTTCGTCGTGCGACCAATTAAAAGACTTTAGTTTAGATCAGTTGGTGGAACATTGCAAGCAATGTTGTCACAATGATGAGTCAGCACCGAAGGAAAAGAAATATGCCCGAGCAATACTGGAAGTATGTACATGCAAGTTCCCGGCGTATCCTCAAATCCAAGCATTTGTAAAAAGTGATAGACCCGCCAAATTCCCTAATCTACAAATCAAGTATGTTCGAGGTTTGGACCCCATAATCAAGTTACTGGACAAAGATGGCATTGTTAAGGATACAGTTGCTATTGAAAAATGGAATACTGATTCAGTTGAAGAGTTTTTGAACACTCATTTAGTCAAAGAAGATGATGATGACAGGGGATTTTTAAAAACTAATTTAATTTAAGGTTTCTTACAATGTACATTGCCATTAAATAAAGACTCAATCTATTGTTGTATTTTTCATTAGTGAATCACTAAGGATATTTAGAAACATTATTTTAAAAGTTTTTAATTATCTTGTATTAAAAAATCTATATGAATGGATAAATTTTATACTTACAAGAGATCTATGACAGTCTGCACATGAGAAGCACCGTTTGTGCCATGTGCCATTCTTGGAGTTCATTTGTTCTGCGGCATATACTGGGAATCCACAGCGAGGGCAGCCTTTTCCTTTGGCAGCCTTTGCTCCCGTAAATGGGAGTTGTTCAGTGCTGTAAGTGCAATAATACTTTATAGTGAATTATGCTACAATCTAGAAATAAGTTGATTTATAGACATTTCATAAAAGTGCAATATATCAAAATATAATGAAAATATTTCGTTATAATCATGTTCATTAAACTCACTATGTAGTTGCTGGTTCAGCATCAGTAGATACAAGGGTTGGGGCGTGGCCGTAGCCGAATCCCTTAGGTCCGAAAAGCTTAGCGTAACAAGACCGACAGTGGATTTCCTTGTCTGGTCCATCGCAAGCCAGCATGGAGTCGAGGGGACGATGACATTCGGCGCAGTTAAAGCACTTCTTGTGCCACATCTAAAACAAATGATAGGTTGTTTTTGAGTAAACCAGAAACGAATGTAAAGATAATAGTAATACAAAGTTTTTAATCTGTTCAGATTACTTACAGTGCCCTTGGCCAGTTGCTGTTCAGCGGCAAATACCATTCCACCGCATCGTGGACATCCCTGTCCCTTGGGAGCTTTGATTGATGTAGTATCAGGGTTGTAGAAAGGACGGTTAGCGGAGATCTCGTCCTCGCTAAAAAAAAACGTATATAAATTACCTGACGAGAAAATATTACTAGGATGATATAATACAAAACTATAACAAAATGAAGATCACTGAGCCAGGTTTTTGTATAGTCTCCGGAGTTCCGTTCGTGAGATTTATTCCCGGCCATGGTCAAAAATCTTTGTGTATATGTGTGTCCTCTAGTGAAAGAAAATGTGGCAAGGAAACCAAAAAGTAACCGAGAACTCAAAATTCAACGTCATCTGCTAACAAGAACTTAGCCGGTCTGGTTAAAAAAAGCGTACTTCTAGTTTCAGAAATAGGGGCCACAAAAGATGTATGAATCAAATACGTACGTCAAACCATCCGTTTGCAGGAAACCGGAGCCACAAGCGAATCCATATCCATGTGGTCCCCATTTCTTGCCGTAGCAAGTCTTGCAGTAAACATCCGAGTCTGGTCCATCGCAAGCGATTATAGAGTCAAGTGTCTTGGTGCAATCGCGACACTTGAAGCACTTGCGATGCCATTCACGGCCCTTTGCCAGAACCTGCTCAGCAGCGTAGACCACGCCGCCGCATCTTGGGCAACCTTTGCCTGGTGGTGCCATGATGGCCGCGGTGTCGATCACCGTTGTCCTTGGTGCATGGTCACTAAAAAAGTATGATAATTAGAATTATAACATCTGTAATACCTAGTGAATGAAGAAATGAAAATAACCGAATGTTATATACTTATATATATATATATATATATATATATATATATATATATATAGCTGAAGAGTTTGTTTGTATGGTTTGTACGCTCTAATCTCAGGCTGGCTCGAAAACAGCAAAAAATTAAAGTTTTTAACTTATCACTTATTGTCGTATTGGAGATTTTTATCTACTGCGTTTTTATTTTAATTTAATATAAGGTTCAGCATTGCTTGATTTACGTACTTGTATTACCCAATGGCATCAAATAACCCGTATTTTATTTCAAAATAAAACACTAATCAGTCATTGACACTACATTACATAACGCGACCTAATAATAAAGAAAATAAATGAGTGGAATCTGCTTTGGATTAAATATGTTGTAAGCGCGTGGCCAGTCGTCTATATTAAAATTAGTCGGTTCGAGAACGGACAGCGCGCGCTATTTTCATATTGGCACTCTGCCATCTCTTGTTTGTATTATAAGCTGTTTTTATGAAAGTGACTATGCGATGGAAATATCCTGAACCTGTCTGTAACCTGAGAATGTATCGTTTTAGTCTTGTTGCTATGTTGTCAGATCCGTTTATAAATCATTTTTCGTTGCACGAAATTTTTAAAAGAAGAACGAAGTCATGGTATATTGACATCTATACTACCTATTATAAAACTGAAAAGATTATTTGTTTGAACGCGCTAATCTCGGGTACTACCGAATTGAATTCAAGAAATATTTTCGTGTTGGTTGGACTACTTATCAAGGAAGTCTTTAGGCTATACAACATCACCAAGCTGCTATTAATAGGAGGAAAGAAACAGTGGATAATGTGAAAAAAACGGGAAAATTATTTATCTTAGAGGGCTTCCGTTGAAAACGGTGCGAAAACTGTCTTTTAAGATTAACTAACAAGAAACGTTTAATGGTAATCAAAAAAAATATCATTAAAAATCGGTTACGATTGAAAAATTAAATGACTCAAGACGTAATTAGAGCCCACCATCAGAGCGTCTCGTGCTGTTGCTATTACCAACTTAGCTACCAGATATATAAAAATCCTTACCCGTTGGCGTAGGGGTCACTTTGCAAAACACCAGCTCCTTTACCGTAACCATAACCTTTAGGTCCAAACTTCTTTCCGTAGCACACTAAAAATGTAATCATCAATTAATACTGCTCTCAAATGTCACTAGTGCATCGTATTTCATTACGAGTTATGACAAGACTGAATCCCAAGTGGATCAGTTAAAATGACGTTATAACAAGAGGTCAAACATGGGACAAACCTTTGCAGTAAATGTCTTTATCGGGACCCTCGCAACAGTTCGTGGAGTCCAGCCGCTTCAAACAATCACCACACTTGAAACACTCCTTGTGCCATGCCTGGACAAACAGTGAACATCATAAGGGCAAGAAAGCATGCAGGTGGTATGGGTTCACGTGTTATATTAAACCGTTCAATCCATTGGAGGAAAAAGGGGAAACTCAAATTTTATGTGACGTATAAGTACCTCGACAGTATATTTCTTTGTCTGGCCCGTCACAATGGATCGTGGAATCGAGGGTCTTATTGCAAGTTAAGCAATTGAAGCATTTTTTGTGATAAGCCTAGGAGGAAATGAAAATTATTAGATGACCGGATCGGTTTAAGAAAGTAATTTAATATATTGCGACCTCGTCCGATGCTATGTAAGAAATCTCCAATGTGCCTTATGAATGGGAATGCTGTCCAAAATTTTTTGGGAAAAACGGTCTATTGTTAGTATTACATCTTACCTTTCCGCGAGCCAACATCTGCTCTGCAGCATACACATAACCACCACATCGTGGGCATCCTTGGCCTGGTGGAGCTTTTGCAATGACACGTGGTTCCAAACATGCTCCGTTCGTTCTTACGCCATTTCTGTATACATTCAATGGAGTATTATCTAGAGTTCAATACAAATATTACGTCAGAGCAAAGTTGACAGAAGAGCTGATGTTAAAAAGGCTAATGGGCACCGGAGCTTTCCAGCCACCCCTACATACAAATTTAAATCATAAAATGGCGGCGAAGCAGATGACTTCGGCGGCGCACCTCCGCCGTAATGGGAGAAGGTAAGGGCTCCCGTCGCCCGCTCCGCACAGCCAGACAAATGGCCTCTCCATACATACACTACTTAAACGATTTAGAGGGCGCTTTCCTTATCCCATCACATACATTGATCAGTTTGAGTACCAAATAAGCATTAGTAAAAGTTATTGTGTGTAAGTGTAGCAAGAGGTTACGAGAAGAGATAGAATTTTCTAACATGCTCTACATTTTCTGCTAATGGTGCGTCACGTTGCGATGTCGTGCTGAGGCTTTACTGATTGGTTTTCTCACCGTGGTTCCAGTGTGTCAGGTCGCCCCAGTAGAAGGGGAGGGAAGGGTAGGTGGGGAGCGCGCCCGCGCCAGCGCGAGCCCAGGGTCGGCCGAGACCGTCGCTGGCTACGGCCGCGCTCCCGCCCGTTTCGAGCAATACACAGGATTGGTAGTCGACTTTTTTTATTTTCTTATAAATTGAATATAGACCGATTAACAAAATAAATTAAGCGATGGCGAATAAATAATCCTAACTAAATTTAAAGTACAGAATGATGGTAACACGCCGCCGGTAGACCGAGATGTGTGTCGGCGACCCGCTAGCGCCGCTGGAACTCGGCTCGCGCTCAATTCCTGTTGCGACATAAACGAAGACTGGTCATGCACGTGTCAGGCGCTAAATGTACAGCCTCGCTGCTACTTAAATGAGTTTATGTACACGCGGTTAATGTGGTTACGTACGGGCCTCGGGACCATAGATAAGGAAAGACCCTCAGTGGCGCGGGCGGCGGGAGTGCGAATGAGGCTGTTACTTACGCGTTCTCGCCCTTCAGGTGGTCGCCGGCGTCCATTGACAAGCAGCCGGCGCCTCCACCGAAGCCGTAGCCTTTAGGTCCGAATTTGCGCGCGTGGCAAACCTTGCAGAAAAGTTCGCCCTCGTGTTCAGAGCAGTTTGTGGAGTCTAACAGCTTCTGGCAGAGACCTATGGAAACATTATATTTTTTATGCTCTATAGTCTATAGCAAATATGAAAACTATAGATGCAGTAATGTCAAAATATTTTTTTTAAATTGTGAATTTAATTAAAAAAGTTAATTTTCTTTTCATGTTCAGTTACTAATCTAAAGTAACCAGAACTACTTAATCAAGAATATACTTCTCGAAAAACAATGTTGCGGTTTAAGAACATATTATACGTCATCGAAGACGAATAGATTTACGTTTCATACATAGTTTTATATAAAAAAATATGGACAACTAGTCCTCAATCAAGTAATAGTAGTAGAAAGGCGGTCTTATCGTCGTCAAATATATTTAAAAAAGAAGAGAAATGAAAAAACTAAGCAATAGTGTCGTAAATTTGTTTTGAGCTTTTAATTTGCAATTCTATTTATTTTCAGCCAATGTCAATGACAAAGTGACATGTATTTAAAAGATCGAAAGAAGATTTTTACCAACTTTTATAAATGTCGTCAGATATTCGGTTCATAAAATACAGTTTAAGTTAAAATACGATTTCTAGTTACTTTACGACTTCAAATCCCTTATTAGGTAAAATGTAGTATATTAATAAATATATAGTAATGTGATTGAGCTTCAGTGTATGTTATTCAGTGTACATTACAGTTTCATTTTACTTTTTAAAGTTTATGTATTTATGATGACTTTGTCTGATGTCTTTCCTATATGTATTTTTTTTTCGAAACTTACCACACTTGAAGCACATTTTGTGCCACTTGAGGCCACCGGCGACGCGCTCTTCCGCCGCGTATACGGACTTGCCGCATTTGGGACACTTGGGGTTATCTGCTGGTTTGAAAGGCATTGTGCTCGCTTAACTTATCCTGAAAATAAATTTGTTTGCGTTAGAGTTCATTTGCCTCACATTCTTTAGCTTATTTAACATTGGTAACAAGCGACTTGGTAACATGGCCGAATAGATTAGAATATAGATTTTTCTCTAATTTTTCGCTTCACCGAGTGCGATACGATCAATTGAAATGCAGAAGATCTAGAGCATCATTGAACAGATGACAAAATCCAATCCAAATAATGCAATGTCCGTTGGCCGATGTCCAAGCCGCCTGCACCACATCCATCACATCCAAACTGACACAATTACTCAATAAACACATGTACCAAGCGATATTCGAGCTACGCGGGCTCCTTCCGAATGCTTTACGTAAAGAACACGTGAAATATAAGGCGGGCGGCGCGTGGGCAGAGCGCGCTCCTAATTTGGGCCGTCCAGGTAAAGTTACGCTGGAGCGAGATTGCACTGGTATTTATAGAGAGGGCGCATTGGGAAGAAGCCGTAAAGTTGCGATTTATTGTTATGATTGTGTCGATATCACTTTCACCGGAGCACGAACCTGTTCGTGTCGCTACGAGAGTCGCACTCCCGAACGCGTATACAGTACAAGGCGGTGCCGAGACTGCGGTGCGCGGAGGTCGAATGATGCGCGAGGGCAGAGCGCCACCGTAGTCTATGCGCTGGTTGCACACGGCCCCAGTGGTGGGGCAACGGTTTGCCGCCCTCACAACCACTCGCCACTACCCCTACCTGGCCAATATCATTACTCTACCCTCAGGTTTAAGTGTCTTCCTTCGACTAATCCTAAATGTTCATTCCTCTAACAGATTATTAACTCAATTCGTAGCTGGATGTAAGAAGTTAATTTCTTGGAATAGTATTGTCTTGAATTTAACTAAACAATAATAGAAACAAATACAGAAATTAGGCGTTGTTTTTTTAATTTAAAAACATGTAAACTTCATACGGTTGAAATTTATTTCCTGTGGGTTTTAATTCTTTTTGAGTTACTAGTGTTGAATTGCAAAATAAATTCAAATTGAAAAATAGAATTATATTTTTTTCTACATATAAAAGTGTACATACACTATGTAATAATAATGTCAAAGTTTTAACTATATTATGTTTCAAAATATTATTTTTTTTATATGTATGTATTCGTAGAGCATGGCGTATGGATATATGACCGGTTTTGATATATAAATAAATAAATGATATTATGTAATAATGATTTCTTAGCGATGATGTTCTGTGGTATTTAGCGTCGAAACGAGAAACTATTGTATTTTCATCTTGTTTCCAGCCAGGGACCAATAAAATTTATAAAATTGTTATTTTTAAACAGATTAATTTTTGGCTCCACATCGTGACGTCTATGTATTCTGTGGACGTAGACAACGTCTATCATGATGGAGTCTACCCGGAACGATACTAAAAATGTTCTTGCCAAACTGTTATATCTTATCAAATTTTCCAATCAAGTTATAGTCACATTTTATTAATTTAATTTCAGATTATGTTAAATTATCGCATTGTGTGAAAGCATTGGATAGGTAAGTCATATAAACGTTGAATAATGACAAAGAAAAAAACATTTTTAATAAGATGTATGATGTTATCAAATATTTTTAAGACCTGACCGGTTAAAAAGATAAAGAAAGAATTGTTACAGAATTTATAATTCTTAGTGGTGAAGTTTGGTATTTTTTACTTTTAATTGCATCATACGTAAAAATTTTATCATAGAAAATAACGGTAACTCAAGAATTAAACCAATAAAAAATTAAATGAAGATTCTATGAATTTCCGATCTATCCTACAAATATTATTATTAATAAGATTTAATGTGATAACAATAATTGCAGGTGTATTTAAAGATAGAATTTGTGCGAAATCTTTACCATATTGGGTGAGTCATATTCCCAAAACGGTCTCTTAGATCTAAAATAAATCGCGCATCTAATAGCTTTTGAGTCATGTTTTTGGCAAGTCGTACTCATATACGTATGTCCACTAAGGATAGACACGTAAACATTATCATTTCTTGTTTAGACATAATGCATTCTAATAGTTTGGTCATGACGATGATACATAAGGGCTTGCACTCATCAAGACCAAAATAAACAATATCTACTCTTTATTACGCGCACAATTAGTCCAGCGGTAAGTCATATTTTGCCCTGCCAACTACAGCACACCTGCTTATCTATTAATATTTTTAAAACGAAAATAACTTCTTACGTGCATTTTGCAGACGAGCAATTTAGTCGTTGTAAATTCCAACATTCCATACGAAATTATTGGGCGAATCGCAGAAATTAAAAATACGACAGCTGACTAGCTAGCTAGCTATTATTTAATAATTATTTTTCAATGTTATATATCTGTAAATTACTCGAGTAGTACACATTAAAACGAAACACATTTAACGGTTTAAAATCGAAATAGATTAGTTAATTTATCTCAAATATGGACGGACGTACACGCTATTTTATATATACACGCACACCGTTTTCTTAATAAATGGTATGAAGCTTAATTTCAATATACAGGGAAAATTGAATTTGACGATTTTTGTTATATTACACGATCTAACCTGGGTTAGCACGGCACGGAACGCTGACGATGACGGTTCAAGTCGTGTCTGAGTCGAAATTTTTTCAATTTATTTTCTATTTTTAAACTATACGGTGCCATCGTGTAACATGTAAAAAAATAAAGTTTTCAAATAATTTATAGTGAAAAACAATTTTAAACATATAATTTTTGTGTGTACGTTAGAAGCCGCCTCCCAATTTTCCAAAAGCAAAGGCAGATTATTTTCTTCTCTAAGTAAAATGTTTGTATCCATCTGAAGCATTAGAAAATCTCAAAAAGGTGCACATGTACATGTCGTGGAATAATAAGTCCACGGTCATATTCCTTTTAGGTATGGTATACAATCTGTGACCATATATGTACGACGCGCTGCAATCGAGTTTAACTCGTGAGAAGACAGCTGTTTATAATGACGGATATATAATAACTAGACATACCCATTTATTTACATATACATGTATATACAAGATAAATGAAAAAAAAATAAATTTGATGTATCACTATACAGCCAATTGATCTTATATACTATACTAGCTGTGCCAGCGACTTCGCCCGCGAGAATCGTTATTTTGGGCATCCAAATCCGTTCATCCTTATAAACTTAAGCGCACGTCCCTTCCCGTCGTTCTTGCAAGTTTATCTTAAAAGATAGACATATCCCGAACATTTTTTAATAATTTAAAGAGGAATCATTCCTCCATACATAGTTTTTGGATGTCTTGAACCGTTTTCGCAGCGTACGCATTCAAATCCACAAAGATGATAAATTTCCCCAGTTTTGTTCACATTTCACGCTGTATCTTCGCTTCCTTCGCCTTCCTCGATAAATGCTCAATTCGAAGCCGTAGTTTCTGAGATTAGCGCGTTCAAACAAACAAACTCTTCAGCTTTATAGATTAGTATAGAAGTGAGTACTTTCCTAGTAGCTAAGTCTGGGTGGTTAGTAATTTAGGCATAAAAATGTATTTTGCAAATCACTATAAAAAATCACGATGCGACTTATAGAAGCGAAAGAAACAGCGGGAAATGTGAAAAATACGGGGATAATTATTATACATCCTTGCGGTTGTCCGTGGTGTGCGCTGCGAAAAAGGTTCAAGTTACTTCAAAAACAAGTATGAAAAAATGATTCCTCTTTAATTGATCTAAAAAATGTCCGCGATAGTATAATATGTCTATCTAGGAACTTGCAAGAACAACAGGTTGCGGTTCAACTTTTAAAATTCGATCTGTTACCCAAAACATAAATTTTGATGCCCGAAAACCTAGTAATCTATATTAGCGAAAAGAATCTTGCTGGCTGACACATACACGAACATCGACGAAATATCATTCAACGTTTGGTTTATTTGTTAGTCTCTTAGGATTAAACCAACATGCGGTATTTATATAAGATTATAAGTACTATTTATATCTTATCGTAAAATTTTGATACATTTTAGCGAACATCCGACTAATTAATCACTTGGCGGCTTCAGTTGACGTCAATTAGCAAAAGTTTAATTCGCAGCTATTAATTATACGCATCATAGACAATTCAAAGTCACGAGATCAGTGTATAAATTAAACACATTCAAAAAAGGAGGTCTCATGGATACCACAGACACGCAAAAGCTGGTTGAAAATTACTAAACTTTATTTTAATATTTCTTCATAAATGAGAAATTTATCATCAGCCAGTGTTAACAGACGAACGTAAATTAGTCACTTGGCAGCTGTTTTGATTTTTTTTTAATTTACAATAAAAGTATTACTGTCTATAGTTTACGCGAGTAGTACACAATTGAATAAAAGACTTTAACGGTTTAAAACGCGATAGATATTAGTTAAACTTACTTGAAATTTAATTAAATTATAAAACTAAAATACAATTTCGAAATCACGTCTTCCCCGCATGGTGCATGAACATAGTGTATGAGTTTTAGTTATTTTTTATTGATTTATTTATCCAACCGAAATAATTGTTTTTCCATCGAGTTAGAACCCAGGACTTTCACGCTTGGCGAAATGACAGGAAACGTGTTTAACTATTAATCCACGGGGAGAGTCACTTCCAAAAAAGGATTTTTTATTTATGTTTTGAATCATAACGAATAAAACGAACCATGTCTTAAGCTGTAGTAGTCGAGTTGAGTATTATTTTTTAGAAATTTTGAGTTTATAGTTTAAGCGAGTAGTACAAATTTAAATAAAACACTTTAACGGTTTAAAACGCGATATATTTGTTAAACTTATTGGAAAATGATTTTTAACCTCCGCCCTACGTTTCGGATGCTTTGCAGCGTGACCATGGCTTTTTAACTAATATATCGCGTTTTAAACCGTTAAAGCAGTTTATAGCTAGGAAAACAGTAACGTGATAGAATTTTCGTCCGCAAGTATCATTTCTTGCACTTCTGCTTAACCGCTGTTCAAATAATCCACGTTTATGACATTATAAAATCTAGATTAAATAACACTCAGGTGTTAACCGCCCGTTTCACAGGTGTGGTGGATCTTAGCGCGCTCGTGTGGGCAGACGTAAAAATAACATGGAAACCCTCAGTTACTCAACAGTGTGCGAAAGTCTTGGGATTAGTCATGCCCCTCTCTGTAGGTCCACCTACGCTGTATCAAAATTTCAAACACTACTTTTAGCTTCTACGGGTTCATTGTAAAGAATGTGAAGACTATATTCATACAATATATATAGGCAGAGGCGAATAATATACGATTATAATACTTCCTGAATCAAAAACAATGTTATGACAATTCTTGTAACAAAGTTCTCGTCAAATCATCCTCCTAATACAACCATTTAACAAATATATATTGCGTTTTAAACCGTTAAAGAGTTTTATTTAAATGTGTACTACTCGCATAACTACAGACAGGGTTTAAATCGTTCTTCTTCAACTTTTGTCCTATACCTACTTACTATTTCTAGAAGGGGGCTGGGACCATACCTCTATGCACATTTATAATATAAGATTGTCTACAAAGAACTACTATACAAGATTACGTTTACATTCACAAATAAAATATATTCCAATAAAACTATGTAGGTATATCTAAATCCATTCTCATAAACCACATAACACGATTATAGATTACAGTAGAATAAAAACACAAGAAAAATACATCTGTGTCCGTATTGCTAAGTCATTTCATTTACAGGCAAGTTTTATCTTTTCTGACGGAAAGAATTCAGGTTTTTTACTTACAATGACATACTTACTTTTTAATACGTGCTAAATCTTTTAATTAATACTCAACACAAGTAAAAACTAGAATAGCTTATTTTACAAATCACCTTCGTTAAAATATTACATGAATATACGTAATATTGCCCGTCGTTATTTTTCTTTATAATATGATAAATTATTTTCTTTTTTGCTTTTGGCAACTTTTAGCACTCTGCAGTGCTCAGACAAAACATCAAAGGCAACATTTATGCTAATGTTTCTATTTATTTTATCCACTTGCAAACCGTAATCAATGTTATTCCTTTTGTGCTTTGTAATCGTTCTTCAACAAGTTTTAGTATTGTTTTTTTTTTCATCCCCATTTTAAAAACAAACTGGGGTTACCATGAAACATATGGAATTCAAAAAGAAATATATTTAAGCAGTTCTTTAGAAATATTTCAAATTTGTCGATTGTTATATCATATTTTATTGATAAATAAATTTATTATGATTGTGTTTCCATGTTCTACCTCAATTCTACATATTATCGTTTTAACCCTGCCGTGGAAAGTAGGATCATTAGGCATGTGCAAATTTTTATAGACATCACCTTCGGTTCATGTGATGGCTGTAACGAGCTATAAGAAGTTGTTTTTAAATATAGCACACAATTTTCCACCAGTTTGCGTCATTCAGGTGAAATTCTGTCAACGAACTCTATTAACAGCTTAAAATTCCAAGAGTTACAAAAAAGTGGTTTGGAACTAAAAAAGATCCTCCTTGGGAAGACTAGAGGGAATGTCATAATGACTTTCAAAGTATTTTTAGTAAATATTACATTATTTATATTCATTTGTGTGTATTCTCTTATCTCATTATAAAGTATTGTAAAGATGGCTAAGAAAATCCCAAATGAATTTTGAACAACAGTAGGTACCACGAACAAAATCTTCTACAATCTTGCAATAAATGATTGTGCCAGTAATATCAACGGTTAACAAACAAACCTAGTTGTTTTCATCTTTCCGCCATCATAGTTATATTTAGCCGTTGCGTTTCTGCATCGACTACCAGTGCTGTAACGTAGATTAGATACGTTCACTTTCAGTTCTGAATAAATTTTCCACAATATGTTAGTGGGCGCGGCTAGTTTCAGCCAAGCAGTTTTCTGGTTTTTCAATCCTACCTAAGGTCACGTGGTGGTCACATTTCTGTGTCCGTTTCACTAATCGATTTTATTTACGGGCAAGGACCTGACTCCTACTAGCACATCCGATTCTATTATTTTAATCCCCAGTAATTCAAAACCGAAGAATTTTAGGCGACGCATCTACCAAATGACTTGAAAATTCTAACTGAGCTTCTGTGAATAAGCATAGTAAGCCGAAAAAAACTGAAAGGCAGCTTTATTAATATTGAAAACAAAAAATAATTCGTATGTTCGGACGTAATCGTGAGATACCTACACTTCAGAATGAAAAACCATGTACTATTAGTTTTTTGTCTGCTGAATTCCCTAGTTACGAAAGAAATTAAATAAACGCTAAACAGTTATTTAAATAAAAAAATAAGTTAGTTACATTTTTAACAAAATTTAAAAACACTTACTTGTATCGCCATCTTGCGCTTAAAACTAAAACTGCATAAAAAGATTGGAATTATTTGAAAATTTCCCTTGTAGCTTCGCGCCATCTGACGGAACTCTTTAGAATTAGCATCGCTTGAGTGTTTCCAAGCGCCATCTATGACCCGAGCGTAGAGTGAGCGATGTGAAAGCCTCCGCGGGCGGTACTCGACTGGCAGGCTTCATGATTGCGATTTCTATTAATACCATCCCACGCTGAAATTGAGAACGGCAGACTCGAGCCTATTTTCAGGATTCGTTCGTCGCTATAACGAAAATAACGAGCGCGTTGAACTGAATTCTTAACGATCTGCGTCGTTACGCCCGCTCGTCGTTATTTTGGGCGAACAGACGCGTTATTTATTTTAACTCGCCCCAGATGACGGCATAATACTATTTTATCTTCATTTGATGTAAACATAAATTTAATAGGATTATTTATCTAAAAATATCGTAAAGTATTAATATATTTTGCAATAAATTACAAAGAAAAATTCAAAAACTACTAATAAAAACTGGGTATATTAGTGTAGGACTATTGTTACCAAAATATCCTTATCAAATTGTTGTTGTTGAAAGTTGGAAGTATAAAACTTTTAAAATAACGTGTTATAATTGGATTTGCGCAGCTTAATCGATACAATTATAAATTTCTGACTTTAAAATTTACATTTAACAACAGTTGGTGTTTTAAGGACCTAGAATAACCAACAAGAATTGACGAAAAACTCGCCGCCATTTTTTTATCTCCATACTCAGTGATCTCACTAAAATAACAAAGCTGAAGAGTTTCTTTGTTTGTTTAAATGAGTTAATCTCAAGAATTGTATTTTTTATTTTTGTGACGGATTAATCTACGGAAGGCTTTATAATATTAAACTATATAACGTTGGCTCGATTGCCACATATTGCATATGTACTTGATACATCTTACTTGTAAAACATTTTACTAAATACCTTGCTGTTAACAAAAAGAAATACATTCTATGTTACTTATTATAACTGCTGAGATGGTAGAAGTATTCGTTAATAAATATTATTTGCATTGTTATATCAGAAGAGTTCAGTATAAAATAATTAAATATATAATTCGATACATAATTTATGTTTTTATAACGTGCATTTTATAGTTGCAAAATTAGTTAATTGATTAATTTTGTTTGCGAAGAAAAATCTGGGCGGAATGGTCATTCAGTCAAAATTAGTTTTCGGTTCGGTAGAACATTTTGGCTATCTTTATAAAAAACGTTTGCATCTCAAGTAAGATTAAGTATAATCTGTAGCGGTTAACTTTTAAATAAGTTTGACTAAGTGTGTACGAATTTATACAAATAACAAGCATTTAAATAAAACACTTTTAACGATTTTAAACGGGACATATTTTGGTTAAATTATTTTCTCCACAAACTGCAACCCGTTTGCTCCTCGTAACCTGCTGCATAGTATGCACAATGTCTTCATATAGTTTAAATACATTAGAAACAAGTAAACGAATATATTTCGTTGTAAACCGTAATTTCTCTAAATTCTGTTTGATAATAAAAATATATGACGTATGGTAGTAAAAAGTTGATTAGTTATAAATACTGTACTGTGTCTTCTTTAGACTTTACGATGTCTAGAATCTGGAAATTCAAAATATTTACGAGGCGCAATAAATATGCTGACATAAAAATGTACCTCAAAGACGAATGTTGAATTTCACATTGTAACTACACAGAAGTTGCTCTGCATGTGCTGGTATTTTGTTAAAAATATTTTTGTACTAACTTAAATGAAAAAAATAATTATTAACTAATATTCAGTAGATATTAATATATTTCATCTCTTACACACCCGTAGGGAGTTAATAGATTGATTATTAGTATATAAATTACACAATAACAAAATAGATAGCCCTGCTCTTTTACAATACTTCAATATTCAGGTTCCTATTAGACTTCCACGAGGTCCACAACTCCATTTCTTCCTTCTTTTCTCAAAACAGTCTTTGAGTCAAATTCACCTGTTGTCAGACTCAGCAAAATCGTTAATAACTACAGCATCGACATCGACATACCTTTTTATTCATCTCACAAGCTTTAGGCAAAAACCCTCCATTCCTTTATAGCTTTATTTAAGTAATAATTCTTTTGTTCTTCCTTTTTAATTACATAATTATGTTTTAGTTATAGATTTTTAGTTTAATTTAATTTGTCTTGTCTTTTGGTAAATTGTTAAATGCATTTGTCACGTACTCTATGAATGTATATATTATAAACGTATGAATGTAATTTAACGCTAGCAGACCAATAAATACATTAATAAATAAATAAATAAAACAATGTCTTACAGTAACACACTTAATAAGTATACTTCATAAAAGTAACGTTTGTATTACAAAGATAATTTTTTATTTTCATAAATTTTTAAATTTGAGCTACCGAGTCAATTGGTAGAGCAACAGCACGGAACGCTGACGATGCCGGTTCAAGTCCTGCCCGAGTCGAAAATTTTTTGAATTTATTTTCGATTTTTAAATTATATAGTGCCTTCATGTGCAATAACATGTGAAAAATATTAATGTTTTCAAAAGATAATTTTTCTTCCGTCTCCTTTATATTTAACTATTAGACCTGAGGAACGTTCTTTTGCCATTTGATGTTATTTTGTCCAAAAGAAGTTTACCATAAAAATGGTATTTGTGAGTTAACGTGGAAATGGACACGTACTATCGTGGATATTTTATAAGAAGAATAATTCTTTTCAGGTATTTTGTCAAAAATAAATAATTATCATTTTTTCACATTTCCTACTGTTACTTCGCTCTTAAAGGTCGCTGCCTGATGATGTATACCCTATAACCTTCCTCGATTAATGGTCTTTCCAAAACAAATAGAAAGTATTTAATTCCAACCAGTAGTTCCTGAGATTAGCGCTTTTAAACAAACAAACTCTTCAGCTTTATAATATAGGTATGGATCTTCACTGACTTATTGTAGGACATTGGAATATAAGCGGTTCGAGGTTTAATAAAAATAGTCAAATAATAAATACTTGTATGTTTTATTATAAAAATATAATAAAATGGAACTTAGGTTTTATCTTATTACTAAATACAAAACCAATTTCGCGAAACATGGATGTATGAGACGTAATTACCAGGTACTTTAGGCAATACTAGGTCATCTTGTACAAACAAGAGAACACACAATCTTACACATCATAATTTCCATTATCCTTAGATTAGTCTAGGTATACAAAAGGTGGAACAGTCTTATCCTAACGTGTTCAGTTTTGTATGAAACTTATAATTAATATCACTTGGTGCGATTTTAAAGAAGACTTTTCACTTTCCGAGGAGGATCTTGCGACCAGCACCGAGGTTCTGACCGGCCTGTGTGGCGCCTTTGTTGGAACCAGCCTGGAGACCAATTACGGTTTGACCAGCTTTCAGGACTTCGTCGGAGAAATCGCGCTTGCATTCATCGGCAGGTTTGGGTCCGAGGTAGGGTCCTTGCCATTCGGCGTGTCTGTAAGTCTGAAAAGAAAACGTTGGAATCTTAATCATTTGTCATTAAAACACAACGGCTCATACGTTTGGATCGTGTATCTATGGTAAATATAAAATATATAAAACCAAATTGAAAGAGTTGAAACTTAAATTATTAATAAGACAATAAAAATATAATAAAAGCTATTGAAACAAACAAAAAGCTACAAAGGTAGTCGTAGAATCATCAGATGCGAAAAGATCGGCTTTAAATTTAGTTAAAAAGATTAATTATAAGGTATTGGAAAGAAAATTAAAAAAGTAACTGACACGAGTTAGTTGAGGCGAGACTGGAATATACGACAGAACGTGTACCGTGTCGTTCATTCAATAACACTTTGATATAGTCTATATCCATCAACAATTCACGGTTAAGATGTCGCTGGTTTCAAGATGTGTTATCGATTACTAAAACTGTCTTTGAGCTACTTCTTCAATATAAACAAGCTTAATATTAAAATCTCTTAGTTATATTAATAACCTCGATCGGCCCCCGAACGTGCGGCCTTGTATATTTGTGAAAAGTGAGGTAACGTTGCGAGAAGGTCGTAAATCTTTGTTGATATTGGCAAAGATTCAAGTTCTCAAAATCTAAACATGTCTTAAAAGAAACTGTAAGCGCGTCGTTTGAGTATTACCATTCTACATAATAATTGTGGTTTATAGCAGGATGTGAACACACGTTTTAAAATGTAAACCTATGCGAACCATTACATCTGTACATATTAACGGCTTTATTAAAAATATCGCAGTCTTCATTTTCGCTTTCGACATGACCGTTTAGGGATGTCGACACTTTTCGGTTAGAGGAGGTCCGGGTTGTTTGGAATATTAGTTTTTGGGCCTTTTTTATTATTTAAATACGTTTCATTGTATTTGACCTAATCCTCACGATCGTAACTAATTAAAAAATATGCGATATATCATTTTTTTAAGGTTTCATAAGATATAAGTAAAAAAATAGAATCTGGTAATAAGCCAAGGAGCTTACCTCACGTCCCAAAGCAAACAGTGTGCTTACAACTTGGGCAATGTCCTTCTTTTCCCATAAGTCAACTGTTTGGAATACATCGATATCCGGAACACCATAGTTTTTGATGGCGGCCTGGAAGCTGAAAATAAAAGAATGATTAAAATTAAATATAATAATTTTCCTGACGAATTAGTATGAAAATCCTTACACAATACGTTACACCACATCTAAAATGTCACTGAAACTTGTACGTAGCTTTTGCTAGTCTTCATAGATAAAACACTTTAAAACAGTTTAAAACGAGACAGAAAAGTGTTTTGTTTAATTATCAACTAAGTTAAGTCTTGCATGTGATTTTTGCCAAAAAAGAAATTTATCAATGAATCCTGAAACTCTGGAGAAAACGTAAAACTGAAACTCACTTGGTAATGTTCTCCATCATTTTGAATTGTCCACCAGAGGTGTTGATTTTGTTGACGGAGCCAGGCTTGATCTTGTTGATGAGTTGACAAAGGACGGTTCCGTCCTTAAGGACATCCTCAAAGGCCTCGCTGGGGGGGAACTTGGCACCAAGGACTGATTCAATCCATTCCTGGCATTCCTTTTCTTGTTCAGGGTTACGCTTTGAGGCGAGCTGTAAAAAGGTTTCATCGTACGATTGTGAAATTAGATATTAGGAAGAAAAACGTATGAGATTATAAATATAAAATGTGGAAGGAAATATTTAATAGATATTATAGGTAAGATATATGTTACATTTTTTTATACATATGAGATCTACTTTATAATTTAATAAAAAATTACCATAGAATTCTTTTGATAATAAAAAAAAAACATATTTATCGACAGTAATTTAAGGTATACTGCAAGTTAGTTTTTTTATAACACAATATAGTAAGTATACCATTTAGAAAATAAATTAATATTTTTACTAAAATGTTGCAATATTATATCGAGTGAAGTGATGAAAATTTAATAAGCTTTTAAATATACAATTTGTATACTGACCTTAGCGCGTACTTGACGTTCGAGAGACATTTTGTGGTTTTGTTTGTTTGCTAGGTTAGAACGCTACTGAAAGCACAGCTAGACTGAACTCCTGAAAGCTAAACCGACGTATTTATAGCGCAGGCTGCGCCCTTCTGGAAAACTCTTGCGCATACTCTGTGGCACCCGATGTCGAATCCGCTACAAATATGATTCTGACTCAACAGCCTCTAGCTGAAGGTGTTAGATGAATTATTTTAATGAAAATAGTATCAATATCACCACTTTTTGCAATTATATTCTACGCCAAAAGATATTTTCGTATATTGCATAGCATCTTTGTGTTGTTTTCTTTATGCTTTTATCTAAAATAAAATTAGTGATAGATTTCCTTTAATGAAATACAACACCACTTTTCGGCTGGGACGCTAAAGGAGAAGGTCTTTTCATTTCTGTATTTTCACTGAAATACTTCCAGTTTAATTTTTCGTAGTTGACTCTCGGAGGTATAAACATGTTCAGTAAGTATATTAACACAATACCTTTTATAATCATAGGCGTACGCAACCTTATAAACTTACCCATATTTCAACCTAAAGAAAGAAATACTACGCAAAAATATTGTAACACCTCGATCTATCTAATCGTTGTAATACGCATATGTTATAAACATGTGTAAATTTATGGAATTTACCCTTTGTGCCCTACTCCTACGCTATTTACTGACTAAATTAAATTAGATCGCCACTGTTAGCATTTGTCACAATGTCAAAGTAGACTGGTATGTATAAATATTCTAACCCTTTACTTTGTAATAAATTTTAAAGTTAAATGATAATTTCAAGGTTATAGTATAAGTGATGACTACTATATAATAATACATACGAGCTTATATATTTAAAAAATGTAACTCAGGCAATTTAGACAACTTATATATATATTTAATACACACATATTTGTAAGTCTGTACTAGAGTAAGACCCATTAGGCCACATATCTTAAAAATTTTACTTATCTTTAAAAAAACACATTCAACGCGAAATATATTAGTTAACATAGTCATTACTGCTGTAAAGCAACCGAAACGTCGGGCCGTAGCTACAATGATTTGTGAATAAGTTCACTAATATATTTTGCATTTTCAACTGTTAAATGTGTTTTATTGAAATATTGTTTGTGGCAGGCTTTCGCGTTTATTTCGAAAACGTACTGAAAAAAGAAATGGCCTTTTTATTACAGCTGAACCGCCGAATCCAAGTAGAAATCCCTTTAACCTTTAAGCCTTTAGCCACATATAATATAATATATACAGCTAAAAAGTTTGTGTGTTTGTCTCAACTCGCTTATCTCAGGAACAGCATTTATCAAGGAAGGCTATAAGGCTATAAAACATCTCGCTGCAACTAATAGGAGCGAAGAGACAGCAGGAAAAAAAGAATTATACTTCTTTGAGGCTTTTCGTTTTTTATAAAGATAAAGAGAGGTTTGCAAAAACAAATTTTGATGCCGAAAATAACTATTCTACGCGGACGAAGTCGCTGACACAGCTAGTAAGATATATTGTCTTTATAAGGTCATCGTAATCATAACGGCTTGGCCAAAACAATTTAGTGAAGAGCGCTTAACGCCACCTAACGACGCTGAGCGCCCACACGAGCTTTTTTCAGTACTCGTTGACTTGTCATTGTCGAATAAGCCCACGCGGCGTGTAGCGGACGGCGTTATGCACACGGTACTATCGTTTATTAAATACAATATCACGTTTTAAGAGAGTCATCCTACATTTTCTATAAATATATAGCGAATTAACACAATTTTAAGCACGCCTTAACTATTTACATAAATCCACTTTAACAGCGAAATATATTAGTCCCCTATTGATATTTATTTTTTGTTACCCCCGTGACCACGCCGCTGAAAAACATCCGAAATATCCTGCCATAGTTTATAACTATGTAATTTTAAATTTGTAGTTAAGTAATTTCTCATTTTTAAACCGTGAAAAGTGTACTACACGCGTAAACTACAGACATTAATTAAACCGATTTTGGTAGTAGACCCCGTTTTTTTTTGCAATATAAAAACCAGCTACATTAAATACAGTCTGTAGTTTACGTCTCCCCGTGACCACGGCTGCTGCAAAGCATTCTAAACGTCGGGCCGTAGTTTTCAAATAAATTTAACTATTTACAATAAGTTTAACTAATATCTTTATCTTGTTTATAACCGTTAAGTGTATTATTTAAATATTGCTTCATTGTTGTATATAAAGATGAAGAGAACTTTATAGTAGAATCACAACCAGATTTTACAGATACTAAATAATAGTATATTTTATAATTTTAACCTTTCTTTGTGTTTTTATTTATCTATCGCTTAGCACTGATAATTGTCCGATAGGCCATAAATAATTATTTGTTTGGCGACTAGCCTTTTATTCCAGATGATCATGATCATGATTCATATTGAATAGATGTTAGGAAAATAAACACATGCGTACCGCAAACTATCTATTCGCGTTTCGATTTTTGTCTTATTTTTTAGAAAGTGGACAATTCACTTACCATCAAATGAACGCAGTGACTTTTCTGGCCTCATCTATATAAAGACTTATTTGTAGATAAAATGTTTCATGCAAGAAAGGGGAAAGTACAAACTTCAAAGACATTTTATTTCTTTCTTTATTAAAACACCCTCCACAACTTTTATCCGTGATACAATTGAAGTACTTGTCATATGCACAATACTATTTACAATGAGTTTACATAATTCTATAATATTTACAACACTTATTCTACTTTAGTTCACAAAAGTATAGACTTGTGAACAGTTTCCAAGAATTTAGAGAGTATTGCGTTATAAATAAAACTCTGATAAAGATCTGAGAAGATTGACTAGATTGGTTAAAAGATTATTCAAGTTCGAAAAAAATGATAACACGGGCGGGAGTCGAATCGACGTATACAGCATAATGCTATACCAGTGAAGGTAGTTCCGCCCGTGACCATAGAATTCTATCAATCCTTAATCAAAACATTTCGCGCAATTAATTCACTACTCGGTACCATTATAAAACTGTGTTTTTTTAAAGAACTTTACATTATTCTAGCAGATATTTTTGAAGTAAATTTCTTGAAAAGCATCGTTTTATAATAATATCGTTCTTTACAAAGGACTAGAAACATTCAATAAAAGCTATTACTTATCACATTGCAGTTTACTGCATCTATTTGGAATGACATTAAAATATATATAGCAGTTTATGCGAATGGAACACATTGAATAAACATATTTTAAACGGGTTAAAACGCGAACTTTATTACTTAATAGTTTTAACGTTCCGACGTTTCGGATTTTTGTCAAAGCTGCTTTTGAAACATCGATTCGTAGTTTTATTAACTTATGCGATATGCGTTTTAAACGGTTTAAAATTGTTTTATTTAACATACAACCCGCTAGGAGTATACAACAGCGTATACAGTACATTTTAATAAGTTTATTTACATTACTAACGAGTTATCACACAAAATCCTAATTTCACAGTGACACCGGTCCTAGTTTAAAATATTATCAACTAAACGGTGATTGTCTTATTCATTTCTATCTACCTTACCTTATGACCGTCTGACTTAAATTAAAACATTTCCAGATTACCTACATTAAATGGACACAAATGTTTTGGCACTTCTTATGTTAGTTACTTGCAGTCTTTTCCGAAATACACTTTGCACGACAGTTGTTTCGATTGTTCTGTGAGATATATGTATTATGTAATCTAGAAGTAAAACGCGGATTAGAAAAGATGGTTGTTGGATTTGGCCAATGTCCCGAGGTGGTCTGAGAGTAGATAGTTGGGGGGTGCGACGCCTAGTAGCGGGAAACCTGAAGGCTGGCGAAGGAGGCCGCAGCCGCCTGTCCACTTGCTGTTACCCACGCCGCTCACTGGAGGTTCTGGGCCGCCCACGCCGTTAAGCTCGTCGCAGAGTTTATTTCCTGGTAATACAAAATAATTTGATTATGTGAAAAATATTAAAGTAAATAAATAAAAGCATAAGACATTAAACCTCAATACGCAATTGTTAATATTGAAATTACATTGCGCGAGAGGTGCATGTATGAGTAAAAAAAAACTCGATGACGATGTATAGGACACGGTAGTTCAATTAGTTAGAGCAACAGCATTATTTTATTTCTTTCATTAGTAATTTTCATATCCCGTAATTAAGTGCCGAGAGACACCCCCCCCCCCCTTGAACACACACATTACTGTGTCCGTTTCACCGATCGGTTTAAATTATAGACAAGTAGTAGATATCAGACCCTTTCGCTCTTAACGCAATGCAACACGTTTAGTCATTAACTACAGAGATTGATAGCATAGGTATATACATAATGTTATTAAACGAAAATATTCGTCAAGTTAACAATGTGTAGCTTTTATAGGCGCCTTATAATGTAACCTTGCCAACAACTGCGTTATTAAAAACACATGTTTACACACGTGTTTAGCCCAATCAGAATAGCGCAATCAATAATAAATCTCACAAACGGCTCGTGAAATCACGGTGCAGCCGGACTAGTAAATATGAAATAATCGTGATAACACAATTAGAGGTCTAATCACCTAATCCTTGCTGCGCGGCGTTGTTTATTCAAGCCTGAGTGACAATCGCGCGAACAATTAGCGCAAATGAGCCGAAGTGAAAATCTGGCGCGGGCAGCGGGCGGAGGGGTAATGTGATTAATTCTACCACGAGTCCGCCATTATCCGCCCGCGAACTAAGCTTGCCGCACATAAGCCACTGGTAACAGCCACAAAAGGCCGTCACCATCATTTCATGTAGTTTTCATTTTGATGATGTCCGCCACACGAAATCCACAATTGGCTTTGGTTTGGTTTGCCGGTTTGCCGTAACCCTAACGTGGCCGTCCACGTCCACTATACAGACGGACAGCACTTTAAAAAAGTTACATTCCTCAATACTGTCTCACGCAGACTTGTTAATTATATTTTGAGTCCACACGCATTAATATAAATCTTCTTTATAGGTATATTTAATAGGCAGTATATTATTACTTAATAAATACATCATATTTTTAATATCTCTTGTTAATTTCGAGAAATATTACCATGATTTTTTTACACTTATATGTAACTAAAGAACGGGTTTTTTACGATACCATTAGACGATTACTTAAGTAAACATATAAGACAATCGAAAGAAAATGTATATTTAATTATGTGAAGCAATAACTTAACGAATATATATATATATATATATATCTTTAAGTATGGTCATTGGTCCTGTATCATTTACAGCACGGCATCTTACCTCAATTATTCGCATAAATAAATTCATCAATCGTTTACTAGAAAGCAATATTGATTCTTGAGTAATCAATCTTTTTTAATGTGAGCTAAGTATGTTACACGTTAATTTGTGTACACTTCAACAGTTTGAAATTGCCACTAAAACGCAAATCGGCAATCATCGAACTTGACCCAAATTCTTCGGGCTATTTCAAATTAATTATAGTGTTATCATTGAAGAAGTCCTCTTTTCAATGCGTTCTATATTTAAAATCTATTTTCAGGGCATATATTTATATATCTGTAATCAGCCTTGTTATGTTCACCCACGCACGTTTTCCGTAAGAACGAAGTGATCCGTCGCCTACAGTATGCGTGATTCATCCGACTATAATTTCGGCAATCAATGTTTATAAAGCCGGTATGTATCACGAAATAGGTGTTACATGAGTGTTCGAAAAGTTTTGAAAATTGTGCTCATTTCATAATAATTAGTGAAGTCAAAGTGTTGGTTTGTGAACTACTTGGCAACGATTTTTCATTAGTCTAACATCTTTTCCTATAAAAAAAAAAACATTTTTTTTTTATCTTAGTTAATAACTAGTTACTTAATATCTATAGTTAGATAATGTATTTTTTTCCATTCTATATCATAAAGTGAGAGCTTAATTTTTAGGATGCGAGATACCTTTGAAATTAACGAAATATCTACTAAATACATTAAGAAATTATTACCAATATTTTATTGCCGTGGACGGTTTAAATATAGATTTTAACCGCCGGGATGTATTTACGTCGAAATGCTAGTTAATCATATATATTTATACGAATGAAACACTCGTTCCTAAAAAATTTATGGATTTCATATATAAAATAATGGGTTTTTGAAAACTCTACTCATTGTAGTAACAACGCCCATATTGTTATAGACGAGTTAATTTTTTAACACGCTTATAAAAACACAAATATTCAAATTAATGATTTGTTAGAAAGGAAATTATGTAACTACTTTCTGGAATTTTTTAATGTTTCCTATATTTGAAAAACAAATACTCGTCTGTCTTGCAAATATCCAGTTTTTTCAAGCTTGTGTCCTGGCCATCCTAGTCCATTTTAATGAAATATAATTATAATACAAAATAGAAGTACCGTATTTTTCTAAAAATCAAAGTCAAAACAAGAAATATTTTGATCTTTATTATTTTATGTACGATAGAGACGAATTAAAATAACAATAGCTAATAACTTTACAGAATTTTTACAACCGTTGCAATAAATATAGAGAGATAAATTACTCACCAGAAGTAATTGGTTTCAGATCTGGTGGTGAGAGGTGAGGCAAAGAATGGTGTGTGGTTTGAGAAGGCGGAGGAGGGTGTGGCGATGACGCTGGTGACCCTTGCTTGTCTCTTTTGCCTTCAGCCTTCACTGGTGTTTCACCAGCTTTCTGCTGCGCCAAACGTTCTTGCTTACGAAACTTTGCCCGTCGATTTTGAAACCACACCTGAAACGGGAAACAATAGAAATAGATCAGACTATTTAGAAGTAATTTACAAAAATGTAATGCTTTAAAAATTATGCTTGAATTATATATAGTATTTGTTATCAGTAAACAGTTAATATAATTGTAAGTATGTAATTATTATTTCGGTATTTATTTAATTCAATTCAGACAATTAGGCATACATTATTGAATTGTATATTTTTTGAATATTGTATCTGTAAGTAATTTTCTCTCTACTAAACATGTGTTCGGTAGTATTGCAGTAACAATAGAGCTGTTTTTTCAAAGACTCATTGATGAATACTCTAGACATTATTTAATTGGTTTATATTAAATTCGCGGTGGAAATTACATTGCGCGGCAGGTGCATGTATCAATAAGTTGAAAAAATTCGACGATGAGGTGTAGGACTCGGTAGCTCAATTCGTAGAGCAACAGCACGGGACGCTGACAATGACGGTTCAAGTCCTGCCCGAGTCGAAATTTTTTTCAATTTATTTTCGATTTTTAAATTAAATAGTGCCTTCATGTGCAATAACATGTAAAAATTAAATAAAGTTTTCAAACGTTATATTAACCTACAATTGTTATTAAATGAAAGTATACATATTTTTTTTTTACTATGTTACAAAATATAAGCATCGCTGTGCTTGTCTCGAAGTTAATACTCAGCCGCTAGTTTGTATGCGTCAAAATTATATTGTATGATTATATTCAAGGTCTATCAACTTATATAAGTAATATGTTAATATTGACCTTGAAGAAAAAATAAATAAATATAAAGCCAAAAGCCTAGAGTAGAAGGCAATGAAAGAAGTTACATAAACAAAGTTGTAAAATAACTTATGGAAACGAATCCTCGTACCAATTTAATGCAAACCGTTATATTCGTTCGAATGCGCGCAAATCCGAATTGATCGTAATTCAATTTCATGCGAGAGATAATTGCAACTGCCACTAGCGCTGATTGGGCGATGTTCGAGTAAAAAACGCTTCGTCACGACTCACGATGATCGCACTGTCCACAATCATACGCACGCACTGTTTGTTCATCTACCGTCCTGCCTGATGATGTTTACTCCCTTTATGTTTTTTTTTATGCAAAATAAATGATCCGTCATCTGTTTCAAAGACATGTCATGCTATCTAGCGCATGTACATTTCTGAGAGGCTGGGATTTCGATTCCCAGGTCGATAACCGAAAATTCGTATTCTTTTTAACACAGGTAAAGAAGAACATCGTGATTCTTAAAACGTAAGTGTTACGGTTGAAATTACATTGCGCAAGAGGTGCATGTATCAATAGGTTGAAAAAATTCAACAGACGTTTAGGACACGGTAGCTCAACTGTTTAAAGCTACAAGACGGAACCCTGTGGATTCCGATTCAAGTCCTACACATGTCTTAAAATTTTTCTATCTATAAGCGATTTTTAATTTATATAGAAAAGTGTGAGTTTTGTTATTAAATCTACGCTAAATGTACAACTATATTTACACATGAGGCAGTGTTGGTCTGGTTAATCTCGAGATATGGTAACTCCGTAATTCCTTCTCTGATGTTGCAGCGATTATATTGTATGTTTGTATGTCTTTTACGCAATAAGGAAAACATCTTTAAACCACGTCTTTAGATAAAGTTCTACATATCATCCGTAAACATCTATATGACCAACGTGATATTAGCACCAAGCTTGGAATTTCTATCTTGCTGACTTTACAATATTCAAAGCCGAAATAGGTCGACGGTGCATCTTACAGAGACTTAGATATACATATGTTGCTTGTCTGTCCTCTTCTATATATTGTTTCTGCGTATCTCTGAGTTTCAGCAGAGGACACTGTTGATGAGTCAATTATAAGTTTTGTTCAAAATAAAAACCGTCATTTGTTTCACCACGCACATACAAGATAACTAGAAAAGCGGCGACAATTATACATATAGTATATAATTTACTTTGAATACGTACATTATTCATTTGCCACCCACGTCATATTTGCGTATGTCTTGGCATTGATATTGACCGGCGTTAATGAACTTTAGGGTTCTAGACGTAAATGAAATTGCTGTTCGAGCTAATTCATCATCAGCTTTTGGCTTTTCCTATGAAATACCTTTCGTCAATACGTTGAGAAGGCCATACCAATAAAAGAAATATCCACAACACAAAAAAAATACTTGTCGTTTAACCTCGCAATAAGTTTGTCCCCTTAACCGAGAGACTAGTAAAATTTAAATAGAATTATTAAACTACACTTAAACACTATAACTATGGATGCTACTGTAGGTTCCGCCCGTATCGTCAATTTTATTTAATCTTAATAGATTTTTAATTTATATATTGCTATCATGTGTAATAACATATGAAAAAGATTTAAGTTTTCATTCAAGCTCACATTTATCAAAAACGTTAGGAGAGTTAATAATAAATTGTAAAGTTTGTTTTTAGATTAAATTTCACCAATATGTACCAAAAATACCACAGATGACATAAGCGGGGCGTGATCATATATACCCTCTCCGCAAATAACAGGACAAAAACAGACACGCATTTATAATATTAGTATGGATTTTAAGGGTAGTAAATTGTACCTTTAAATGTGCATCGTTTTGCAAGCACACGGAAATCACTACTTCAGGTGGTTGTAAGTTACATCAAATTTCTTTAAATAACAATAATTATATGTTAGTTTAACGTTAGTTCTGTTTTAACATTGTCTTCGTCATATAGTAGAGTAAATTATTAACACTACTAAATCAATGACATCCTTATGGGATGTTTGACATTGAAATTTTAATATATTGGTACTGGTAAGTGAAACGTACCGTGTGTCGTGTGTCATAATAATGAACAGCTGTTTGCATCTTCTGCATCCACTGCATCATAATGTTGACATGTGACTATCACAATTATGATGAGAATACTTGGCTCACCAAACTAATGCTATAATTGTACTCGGAAATTTATTGTACAAGATATTGGTTCTGTTATTTATAGTTGACGTTGTTTAACAAATAATTGATTTCATCCAGTATTCACAGACTGCACTTGCTACCAAATTTTACAACAACAATTCATTTTGTCTGAATTCTTAAAATATACTCATCTATGTATCTCAGGGACTGTAGATTTTGTCACCAAATCAGTTAAAACGGCAGTATAATAACAGAGTGAGTTAATGTGCTTTTGTATTTCAAAATACTTAAGTTATTAATACAAAGAAACATGTCTAATTATAAACACTTTTAATTTATTTTAACGGCCCACCGTTTCTGATGCTTTTCACCAGCCTTATTTAAACTAATGTACCCAACATATATTGCGTTCAACACCGTTCAAATTGTTTTATTTAACTACTACAGACAATGCTTAAAACATACATATAGAATAAACGGACATATAGCCGAATAAATAACCTCACGGTTCATTTGATCGGACGAAATGGGAGATCTCTAAAGTTGATCATTCCCTGAAATCTGAGAGAAAATCAGTTCCTCCAAGTGTAAAGGTCCCAAGTACGTGCCCAGGTTAACCAAGCGGGAAGGCTCGCGTCGACTAACGAACGCGACTCGCTTGATTGGAGCTCGCGGGTCACGGAACGATCGCCCAGGGCACCACGCCTCCGCATTACTCCTGAATTTGAAAAAAATCAAAGGCCCGATGTATGCGGCATCCGCAAACAAAATACAGAACCGCTGCCAATACAAATGAGTAGCGATACCGGCTGCGACAGCGAGCGGAATGCGAAGCGGACTCGAGCGTGGGCCCGACGCAAATAAACGTCCGCCGATGTGTTTGTACAAATTTGTTGCGATGTTTATCGAGTGCGATGCGTGCTGGCGTAAATATTGTTACAATTTGCTCTCGTATATTTCTAAGATTTCATCCCTCATTTACGATGGCCAATGCGATCCTTTAGCGATCAAACCATCGTATTTCCACATTCTAAACGTCGTACATCTTATCAAGTCATATCATGATATTTTTTTGGCAGAAAAGAGAAAAATAATCGTATAATATTTAATTTAGATGTGCATGTTTTCAATTTTTAAGTACCTATTTAGATTGAAAAAAATTATAACATTTGCGGGACTTGAAATGGTGCCGGGGATATCGGATGCCAGTTCAAATCCCGCCCATGACGCTGTTATTAAAAAAGATTTTTAATTTTTTTAATATCCATTTAATCAATAAGTTGAAAAAATCGACGATGAGGTGTAAGACTCGGTAGCTCAATAGCTTGGTAGAGCAACAGCACAGAACGCCGACGATGCCGGTTCAAGTCTTGCCCGAGTCGAAAATGTTTTCAATTTATTTTCAATTTTTAAATTATATAGTGCCTTCATGTGCAATAACATGTAAAAAATAATAAAGTTTTGAAACGTTATAAAATGCAATCATGTGAAAAATATTAAAGTTTTCTAAGCTTTACTCTTGATGAAACGTAACAAAATAAAACAATTATTAATTGAACATTTAAGAGCGTGCTAAAACGTAAGAAAATTTAATTTCCTTTGAAATAATTGATTACATATACTTTAGTAGTATCTAGTATGTAAACAAAGATAGCATTCATAAGTGAATAACTTACAACTAACTGCTATAGAAAATATATTATTCCAATCAAAGGCCCTTAAATGCAAACAATATTCCGACAAATGTCAATAATAAATAATGGCAATGGCCAATTAAGCTCCGGGTCAGAACAATCGACTGGGCATCGAAATGCACTTTGCAAATGAAGCAGATAGGGCGGAGGCGGCGCGGGCCGTGGGGCGGGCGGGCGAAAATGTAATTAAACACGAGATGCACGCGCCCGGCACTGTGCCTATCCAGATGCGACTGATAAGTTATCTCATAATTATTATTATCGCAGATAATTGTTGGTATAAGTTGTATCTATTGTAGAAAAACATCGTAGTATCTAATTGTTTATTATCTGTGTCATTTAGTGTAAAGCTGATTATAAATATGAATCAAGTGTACTTTACCCAAATATTAATTTGCATAAGCTTATAAAATATGATTATACTAGTACTGAGTGTATATATTTTTATAATTTCCACATAAATAATAAATTAATTTAAGTACCTATTTTGTCAAACTATTGTTTATAATATATATGTTAATCAATATAATTGTTTTAAGTGTTTCAGAGAAAATGTCAAACTACCTCGATTATCTTATCCCCGCCACTGATGATGACATGAGGCACATGATCGGGACATTAGTCCCAACGTTTATTTTTGCAAATATTTTGTTGTTTCTGAAGTTTTTATATTCTATTCTAAAGCCTATAGTAATGTTAGAATATTACAATTTATAGCTACTAGAATCGTACAGCGAAAATCTCACAGGATAAAGTCCCGTCTGTATCATTATTGAATACTTCATATAAATGTTATCTGAGTTTTTTTTTATATTAACAACCTTTACTTACATTGACAGTTGAACATGCATTAAGACTTAACAGGTGTTATTAAATTACGTTACAAAAATGATGATGTTATGTGTATTTTCAACAAGCCAAGGAGCGGCCTTGTTGACAGTTCATCCGTGGACACCTCACACAAACCGCGAGGGTAGTTCGTGCAAACAACAGCACCGGGCGAACAATGGTTTAGTATTAAAATAAACACAGTTTCACATCGCCATGTGCGCGCTGACGGAGAACTGTAAACAGCGGCTAATGTATTCAACGGTACGTCGCCGCTTCCCAACTTTGCCATACCTCCTCCGAGCACTGAAGGCTTATAAATCATAAATAATATCTATATTTAATCCTTGATATCATTCTTATGTGGTTTTAGTTCGACTCTCTGAAGTACACTTTTTAAAATATAAACTTAGCTACATGAAATCAATGTAGTTTGTTGTGAGAGACAAGATTTGGAAATTATTAATAGTATTTCATTAAAACATAAAATAGACCATTTACATGACTTTTATATTATTATTAGGTACCTTTCTTGGTTAATTTATTTTCTATAGAATATTTATTAAACATCACTTCACCCTGCCTTCTGTTTGATAGACGCATCTTTACAACTGACGAACAATATGCGGTAATTTATCTAATTTTTTTTTAATCAATTAAACGACTCGCGTAAACTGTATGCAATGTTTAATCTTAAACGTTTTCTTGTAACTTTATTAAAAGTTTAACAAGCTTTAGATCCCATATTAAAACTTGGAAAGCTTAAAAAAAATTAATACATATATTACATACAAAGGAAGAAGGAATGTACACTTTAGACGATTTTTCGCATTAGAAGCTCTTCTGAAATATCCAGTTAATTGTTGAAAGACTAACGAAATAAGCTGAATTATAGAGCCGCAGCGCTGAAAATGTTTGCACAGACTATCCCTACGAGGTCGGGTGGAGCGTCTTTATTTGACACGTTGTACCCATCGAGGCGTATGAAAAAGGAGAGGCCGCGCGGAATGATCTAATTGTATTCATTAGCCGGGCCCGGGCGCGCAAATATTGACTGAAGCCGGCATAGAGTCGCCTCGGGCGATCCGCATAGCCCCGAACGCCTTTGATCTATATCTGCAGAGTGGTCTGGAGAGAAAGCTCGCAAGGATTACTCGCCGTTTGTACAATTTATGTCTCTATGAAAAATCCATGCCTAATTTTCTACCATATTTTATTCAAGCATCTAGTAAGAATTTAAAATACTTCTATCATATTTTTACGTAATTTATACACATATCATTTTTGTATAATTTTTAATCATATATTTTAGTGTCTTTTTTTTAATTTTGTCCCAATTCGTTAAGTTAAGGACAACGAGATCTTCCGATCCTTGGACAGAAGACTTGGTCTATTTATGAGTATTATACCGAATTTTAGCTTTAAATTAGGTGTAACCCCCTTCTTTTAAATGCGCTGCCCCCTTGTTTTGGTTTTCCACATTCGGAAATCGACAGACTGAGACCGAAAGGCAATTAAACTTATCTATAAATATTATCATGCATAAAAAAGTTGTTTAATAAAACACTTTAACGGTTTAAAACGTGATATATTAGTTAAACTTATTTGAAAAATGATTTTTAACTTCGGCCCGACATTGTTTCATTTAATTAGTTGATAATTTTATAGATTTAATTATACCTTTGATTTCTTTTATAGAAAATCTCGTCTATTTTAAGGGTTACTATTTATCGAAGAAACTAACGACCGTGAAATATTCAAAACTAATCCGCCAAACTAGAGTTTGATGAAGCTTTTTATCCAATGAGAGACGGCAAAAAGTTAATCATTCGTCAGCAGAGGCCGAGTGATCAAACACCAAACACACCCTCCTGTTTATACTTAGCGGATGAAAAGGCAACATCGAACGCCCCGGAATAATATTAGCTACCCTCTATAATCCAGCCAATTCTGACACTATTGAGAAATAGCGAAAATGATCCTTATAACGACGTACGAGAGTACATTTTGTTTGCGCAAAAGTTTAATTGTTATAACTTTATAACGGAGAATTTTTTTAGTAACCCGTAACATGTGTTAACATTTGCTGATAATCTTGGATTAACACATCATAATAAAGAGATGAATACGTAGTTTATTTAGTCCGTATGTCAGCAATTGGACGGTATTTAGTGGACGTCATGACACAGGTTATTATTGCGTATAAAACAGTTACATTTACTGTGTCGCTTTGCATGCTGTACTCCGTCATCTATGTTATAACAAATTAATATTTTAAGTGCCTAAAAGACTTGAATTGAAAAGGAAAGTACAGGCTAAAATACTTTTTAATTTTAATAATCTATACTAATATTATAAAGAATTTGTTCAGTTGTTGGTTTGAACGCGCTAATTATAGGCAGTAATAATTCTAATTGAAAAATTATTTCTGTGTTAGTTCGTATATCGAGGAAGGCTTTAAGCTATAAAACATCGGACTGCGACCAATAGAAACTAAGAAACAGGGAAATATTGAAGAAAACGAAGAAAATTATTATTCTCTTAGGTTTTCCACTGTGTGCGCTGCAAAAACGAGTTTGAGAAACTAATAAATATGTATGATAAAAAATTCTTCTTTTAAATATAAAAAAAATCCCCATTTCAATACAATTTAAAGAAGAATTTATTCTATTACTTTATCTATTAGGATTAACTCGCAAGAAGATTGACGGACCGCGAACGTCGTGGGTAACAGCTATAATAAAAAAAAATATATTTAGGTATTCGATGTCTATTTAAATGTATAATATTATAATTCTTAAAAATAACGCTTATCATAATATTGGTTACAAAAAATACAATTACATCGCGTGACGTGGCTTTTTTCCGTAACGAGAAAGTAAGTCAATGAATTTTTAATGGTGTTATGTTCTGGGTTACAAAAACTTTGATACAGCAAGTTCTTCGACAGATGTGACCCTCGTGAATCACGCTCCATTACCTCTTGTACTGTATTCAACTTGCAACCTCCTTTCATAAACATTTTTATTTATGTCAAATGCCAACGATCATTATATCGTCGATATTTTTTACGCTTCAAGTGTAATTTAATCATTTGACTCATCTTTCGAATCTTTTCATCATTAATTAAATGTAAATATTCTATACCATTTATAAAAAGTGCAATGTAAGTAATAAAATTAAAATGCGAAAAATATTTATATTAATAACAATTATTTGTGTGATATTAAATGTATTTTTACACTTATTACTAAAAATTCTGAAGACTTTAATTCTGAAACCTTTTTTCTACCCTAATTCTGAAACACAGAAATAAATATATTTGTTCGTAGATTATAAACATAATACAGTTTTCCAAATCGAAAGTTACAGATAAAAATAGGGTTGTCTATGACTTGGTAATCAATTAATCACTCGAGCACTTCCATGTTCGACGTTCGAAATTAAAAATAGCACAGATTTGAATCAATTTGACAGATCACCGTGATCGTGCGTGCGCGCTTCCGCGAGACAATACTCTAATCAGTTGATCTAACGGCACGTGACACGGCAACTAGCGGATAACGATCGACAGATGTTACCTACACTTACTGAATTAGGTCTCACCCCATGATCGCAGAATAAGTGGCGGCAAAACTTAAAACTGCAAATTTTTGTGCAAAAAATCGATTTCAAGATTACGCATTTCAAAAAATTAAATAAACGTTGCTTAACTTTGTTTCTTAGCTAAGTTAACAGATAAAAAAAATTTCACCTTTTTAATAAAAATGTGAAAATTTGATTTATTAAAAAGTGCATATGCATATTTTAGCAACGTGATAAAATAGAGTTGTGAAGAAATGTACATTTCAATTACATCAAGGCCTACTGTGCGCATGGCACTACTTGTTTCTTCTATTTAAATGCCAAAAATGTTAGTGCAAACGTCAAAATTAAAAAAATAAATCAAAGTAGAAGTGGATAAATGAAGATAATTTAATAAAATACAGTTTCGTTTAAAATATTCTAAATGCAGATAATAAACGCGTGCCATAATTAAAAATAAACAACAGATGTAACGGCTCATATTTTGATAAACTCTCAGTATATGAACGGAGTGATCGTTAAATGGTTCGAGAACCGAGTGATAAATGATAACGTGGGGAAGAAAAAGTATTGTTAATGTTCATACAATGGTGGCACTTGTCCCCTGGTCCCGTATTAAATGCTTTGTGAACCATCCACGTCATTGAAGCTTGGGGTGCTGAGAACAAGTAAATCCCGACCAGTAGCACACTAAACTAAATCTACTAAACCATATTAAGCAATCCTTATTTCGTGATGGAATATGTCTTTCTAGGTAAGGCGTAGTTAGCCAGTCAAAGTACTGCAACCGGCGATCCAAATGTTAAGCAATCTTTCTTTATACATACATATTAGATACTTCATGGTAGAAACATAATAAGATTAACAAGAATTTTATTTGAAAACTTTAATATTTTTCACTTGTATAACATGTGAAAAATATGGCACATATAAATTGAAAAAAAAAACTACAAGTCGTTAAATTGAGTCCAAAATGTATTTGTAATTCGCTTTAATTTAAAATTTAATTAGTAGTAATCTAATTTTATTTTTTAATAGCATTATCAGATATTAAATTTATCGCTTTAAATAATGAACCAATTCATGTTAATAATAATGATCTATTATTTAAAAATAACTAGAATCATACTTAGTTGCGAAGTTGACTTGTCCCTTCCAACTTATTTCCCTTCGATGAAGTTTCCCAAAACAATTCGTTTATCATGTCCATATATTAATATTGTAGGATAGTTTTTGACGGCTCGCCTATGCTCCCCTCCCATAATATTACATCCCCTCTAAGTTTCACTTATTTTCATGTATTGCTACGTAAATAAATGCTGTTTCTCTAAAGCTTCATTTAATATTTAATTAGTTAATACAGTTATGCCAATTATTAGAAATTAATTTCTATTTTAAATTTATTCTACTCTATATGTAATTATTTATTGCTTACGAGAATAAATATTAAATATAACTATGTTAAATGTGGATGATTTTTAAACAAAATATAAATATATAAAGAGTTTCTTTTATTACTTAACCAGTTTTAAATAAAATGTAATATGCTATTCAATCCGTTAAAAAAGTCACACTTATTTTTTATTTATTTGTAATTTGTTTTCATCTTATTTATGTTTTTATTGATTATGGACCTGTTCGTTGTTATATAGACAACTTTGAACGACGGTAGTTGTCGACGACTACTAACTTTGTAGTAGGAATATCGAATTTCCGTCCGGGACACGAACCACCGTTCACAGATGAAAAAGCAAGTTTAAGCGAGTTTCGGTTTCAGCCTGTAGATTTTCGAATATCCAGAGCCAAAATGGGTCTACAGTGTATCTTGTTTAGATGTTATATGTCTGGGGTATCACCTACCATCATTCACTCGATGCATGACCCATACTTGTATAGACAAGTATGGGTACATTTTCCAGGATAGAGCAAAGGCTCTATCATGGAAAATGTACTACAATATCAGTCTAGACAGTTCGAAGTCATGAGAATGCGTCAACACATAAATTACAGCAAGTCCC